GAAATTGGGCTCTGCTGGCTGGTGGTGTTGGTGCTGTGCCTCGGCCCCAGCCCCTCCTGCGTGGTGCTTTGGGACCATGGGCAGCAGCCATGGTGTCCTGGTCAGAGCTGGGTTTCTGGTGCTGTGGGCAGCCTGGTCCTCTCCCTACCAAGGCTCCAGGGAGCAGCAAGCCTACATTACAGCTCCCACTGCTCAGCAGTGCCCGTTTGGATGGGCGGGCACCAGCACAGCCCCATAGTGAGGCCTTCACACTCGCGTTCTCCTGGCAGGCTACGAGCTGCTCTTCCAGCCGGAGGTGGTGCGGATATACATCTCCCTGCTGAAGGAGAGCAAGACCCCGGCCATCCTCGAGGCGTCGGCAGGAGCCATCCAGAACCTGTGCGCTGGCAGCTGGACGGTGAGCAGGACTGGCCGTGTCCTCCATCACCGTGATGGGGAATTGGGCCTTGGGCAGCAGGGAGCACCCCTTGGGCACCGGCAGAGCTGCAGATGGACACAACTCTCCCGTTCCAGGCTGCTGGCTGCGCACGGTGCCCTGCACGAGAAGACACCGTCCAGCAGCAGGTTCAGGCAGACCAGGTCTGCTGTGCTGTGAAGGGCTCTGTGCTCCCGTTCCTTCCCTCCTGCAGGCTGAGGGCAGAGGGTGAAGGTTTGGGGCTGCTCCACAGCCCTCTGACCTGCACTCTTGGTGTCTGTGGAAAGGCCATCGGGGAAATCCTGGTTACCTGACCCACAGTGGGGCTCTGGGACAGGAGCAGGACGTTTCCTTCACCATGGGTGAAACAGGACCCTCAGCTCCCGAGATGAGGGCAGGTGGCACGTCCCCAGGGGTGTCCCTGGGAGCAGGGGGGGCTGTGTGTGTTGGGTCTCACTGAGGTGTGGGTGATGGGGCCGGGGGAATGGCAGGGCCACGGGAACACTGTGCATGCCCACGTCTCACTGAGGTGTGGGTGGCAGGGTCTCCAGGGACACTCTGTGTGCTGGGTCTCACTGAGGTGCTGTGCCTGTCCCTGCAGTACGGCCGCTGCATCCGCTCGGCGCTGCGCCAGGAGAAGGGGCTCTCCGCCATCGCTGACCTCCTGACGCACGACAGCGAGCGCGTGGTGAAAGCGGCGTCCGGGGCCCTGCGCAACCTGGCCGTGGACTTGCGCAACAAGGAGCTGATCGGTGAGGGCTGCGGGGTGGACGTGGTGGCCGGGCAGGACCCCCTGCTCGGGGCATGGCATTGGCCCAGCGCCTGCTCTGCTCCCAGGGCAGCACGGCTCCTTGGAGAGCGACACCAGAACGGGTGCCCGGTCCCTCTGTAGTTGCTTTTCCCCCTGCAGTTCCTCTTCCTTGCTGATGCCCAGCCCCTTCTCCCCCCCAGGGAAGCACGCCATCCCCAACCTGGTGAAGAACCTGCCTGGAGGCCAGCAGACCCCAGCCAAGAACCTCTCTGAGGACACCGTGGTGTCCATCCTTAACACCATCAACGAAGTGATTGTAGACAACCTCGAGGCTGCAAAGAAGCTGCGGGAAACACAGGGGATTGAGAAGCTGGTGCTGATCAACAAATCTGGGTAGGTTTTGCTCGAAGGATGATGCAGAGAGGGGCCCTGGGCATTTCCAAACATCTCCTTCACCTCTCGCTAGGAACCGCTCCGAGAGAGAAGTCCGAGCAGCCGCCCTCGTCCTGCAGACGGTCTGGGGTTATAAAGAGCTGCGCAAGCCCCTGGAGAAGGAAGGCTGGAAGAAGTCCGATTTCCAGGTGTGGGATGGGCAGCAGGGGTGCTGTGTTGTGGCTGGGGCA